TACTTGACACAGTCATACAAGAAGACTATCCAAATCATGACTAACAGCAACACTGTCTAGGTTAACATTGCTTTGGTCTTTATGTTTCCTTTTCAATTCAAAACAGTCTCTCTTAAAGTGCTCTAGTTTCCTTCAATAATAGTATTTTTTTTATTGATGCTATCCCTGGATTTAGATCTACCTTTGGATTTAGATTTAAATCTTCTGTTCTGGGAATTGCATTCCTTTCCTTTATGTTCTTCCTCTCACAAACATGCTCTCTTCTGTTGAGTTAGATTTCTTTCCTTTCTTGACATCTAATTCTCTAGCTCTTAAAGCATTGGTTACTACTGTCTGAGTTAGATCATCTCTTGAGTATTTTATAGTATTTTTATATCTTTATAAGATTCAGGCAATGAATTAAGTAATATCACTGCAAGATCCTCATCATCGAATTTCTTATCAATGTGTGCAAGATTCTTAACCAAGATACTAAAATCACTCAAATTTGCTTCTAAGTCTTTCCCAGTATCCATTTTAAAACTGAATAATTTCTCTAGTAAGTAGACTTTATTTGGCAATGTCTTAGTTAAAAACAATGCATCAAGTGCAATCCACAGGGCTCTAAGGTTTTAGCATCTTCAACTTGTCTCACAATGTTGTCAGATAAATGCAAAATAAATGAACTATAAGTAATTTTATTCATACCTAGAATTTCATCAGGTTTAACTTTAAATTCAGAAAAAAAAGTTTCAGGATCATCTAGAGCTTTAGCAGCCTTTTGTTGGACCAATATGACCCTCATTTTCTGTTTTCATATCGAGTAATCCCCCCTTTCATCAAATTGAGACAACTCGACCTTCGAACCCATTATAGGTTCTGTAACTTGGGGATATAAGTGATTCTTCAATGATTGATCACTTAAGTGCATAAAAGGTTTTGAAATTTTTTTGCAATAATAAAAGATAAACTAACTAAAGAATGACAATACATTATCAAGTAGAGTATGCAAACTAACACAACAAAGCCAACAAGTAATAATCTCAAGATCACATAATTCAATATATTGAGATTATCAACTTAGAACATACTTCAATACCATCTCATACAGATATCATATACAACAATAAGATTGTTCTTAAAATTTATCAACTAATATCGCCCAATCTTAAGAACAACTAACACATGCTTTTCAGTTATTACAAGTAAAGGCAAAATTAGAATAGAACCCACTGTATGATTGACTAGTCAAAAATTCAAGTACTCAGGGAGATGCATATATAAAAGAAGCGGTATATTGATAAAGAAAGTTCTTTTTTCGAAATCAAAAGTGCGATTAGGTTCAAAAAATAAAAGATTGTGAACCATCTTGTTATCCTATAACATAGACCAATTAAATGAACTAGGAAAAAAAGATAGGGTAGAGAATCTGTCGATAAGTATACCTATTTTCGAGGTATCTATTCTTAGTAGGATACCTTGTTTTGACTGTATTGCACTATATATCATTTGATAACCCACAAAATTCTTCTAACTTGGTTCAAATAAAATTTCAAATGGAGAAAATCCAAAGATATTTAGCCCAAGATGCCAAAATCATCAGTTATGGCTTTTAGCCCCTGCACTTATTAGAAAAACGTTCAATAATTATTTTCGAAAATAATATTCAGCGTAAAAATCTGATAAGATTCAAAGAAGATCAAGAAAATGATTCCTTACAAGACTGTGACTTGAAGGAGGTTGGTTTGCCCCCCAAAACCCTAATGGCTCTGATACCAGATTTGTAAGGATTTAGCCCTTTATTTTCATGCTCGTGCAAAAATAAATGCAAAATCAAGCACAAACGCAGTAAAAATACAAATGATTGTTAACCCAATTCAATGAAAACACCTAATCTGGGGGCTTAGAGGTTGTACCGTTTACTATGTGCAAAATAACCTTCCAAGAGACAGATCAACGACACTAAGACCACAATCAGACACAAGATCTAATCATTGATCCAAAAGGATCTCACAAATCACACCTTAATCACCAATAAACCAAGAACCATAATGCCTAACACAATAGACACATCACAGGCCTTACAACGGGCTAAAAGTTACTGTAACAATATATATTTTACAGGGTTCCACAAAACTAACTAAGATTTCATGTGATATCACAAGAAATAGAAACCAAAAAGAAGAAGAAGAGAATCTCTCGAAGAAGAACCAGAGGATGTTTCAAAGAACAGCCTAGAAGTTGAAAAACCAAGACTAGTGACCGTCCTTTAGAATGACCCTTCAAATACCAAACTTATTGTATCACATTAATTCTCAACCATAGATCAAAGATGGACAATCAAGATAAGGTTTGAAGAAGCACAACTCGAGTGAAACTCCAACAGCCAATTGGGGGTTTCCACTTGGGCCTTCCACATCTAATTGACATTTTTGCCCTCACTAAATTGTTGATTTGAGAAATACCTTTTTACACATATGACAATATTAGTGATTTTGAGAATTTAACACAAAGAATCGAATTGGATCAAAACCGAATGGTTTAGTTCCATATTTGGAAATAAAAACATTGGTTCCATTTTCAAAATGCCTATTACTTATTAGTATTCAATCGATTCGATTCTTTTTAAAATTGGACCGCATCCTCTCATACTTTTGTTCCAAACAAAGATAATAAATTACAATAGCCAGTCAAAGTGTCAATATAGATAATGAATGTGTATTTTCATGATCATTACATCTGGATTGTGGTTAAATTACCAGTGACCATCTTGTGCAATATTCCATGAAGATGACTTTGAAAATGAGATAAGAATGGGCAATATTCCATCCTTGTATACTAGTTAATCTAAGGTACTTGATCGTCTGTTCTATTGAGGCTTTTTGTTATTTATTCATTTTTGTTTATTATTATTTTTTTGCTTATCTTTTCCGTTTCGTACTTTATATTAGAAAATAATCTATCTTTTCTTTTGAGATTTGAGCGACAGAAAATAATCTTTACGAGATTATGAAGATTCAAATAGAGATGTCCAATTGTCCGAAGCTGACCCATTGAGTTAAATTGAAGAGTTATTAGGGATGGGGAAAAATTCGTTAAACTCGATACCCACAGACCCCGCGCCAATATCAAAGCCAGGACATTAAGAACATAAATCCAATACAGATATCAAGGTATCCACCCCACCCTGCCCTGTTTAAATTCTAATTTTTAACTTTGTTAGTTTGTTAATTCACAAGCCCAAAAAATGGAACTAAACCAGTAAACTATTAACCCAATGCAATGTCCAACCCAGTTGAGTTGCCCACCATATAGAGTTAGAGAATCAGTTGGCCCAAAATTGGATTCCAATTTAGTACCAAAATTAGGCGTGATTTGATAAGTGATGAAGGTTTGCCGTTTGAGGGATTTTTTCCATTTTTCTTTCCACAAAAACTGCGATCGTGAATCACTGCATTTCTTGCCGTCAAAGTTCTATTCCGGTGCATTCTCTTGGAATTTCTCCATTGTGTTTCTTTTTACACAGTTCTTGAAACTTAAGAATGCTTCGTAGTCTCACATGATATGTATACTTAGAAGGTGTGCTCGAGAGTTTCGAATGAGATATGCGTTGTTCTAACAATTTCTCAAATAATGAATAAGTCCTTTTTCTTTTTTCTTTTTTTTTTTTCATATATTGTAGTCTTTATTTGAAATATTAAATGTGGTACTTGCTGCTTTATTCTCTAAATTGGGAATCAAACGGTTGTTTGATGCAGTAGATAGGATTTTGAATCTATGATTGAATTGTAGTCCTATATTTATGTCATCAACGTAAAAGGGTATTTAAACAGAGCAGGGATCTCGCCCCGCTTTAAACTGGTAATGGTGGGAAAAATTACTCAACAG